TGGCTAACTCTGTGGATGATCTTTCCAAGCAGCGATCATTCACTCCTACCATCTACTTCTTATCTTTTAACCATTCTAAATAAAGATATCTAAATAAAGCTATCTTACGGTATTGCTGCTTAGTTCCCTTGATAAGCCCTTGATAAAGCTTTGATAAGGGACTTTTTGAAATCTAACCAACGAGATCGCTCCTTTCTGTATGTTTGTTAACACCTTTAGGAATTCCAACAGATGTGTGAGACAGGACATCCCTTTATCAGAGCCATGTCGACTCTTCCCAAGAATACAATACTTAGGTACCCACTAAAACTGTCATTTATTATAGTTTCTATTACTTCGTTGACAGAGGCTGACAGACCTCCCCTTCAGATCTCTACTAGAGTCCTTTTTTAAAAAATAGGGTATTTGCTACTTTCTAGTCCCCTGCAGCCAATGTCCTTTTAAGCAAGAAGTTGAATATAACTGTTTTGTAGGTGTGCTAGCTCATTCCCAAGTCCCTTTGAAGAGACTGGGTAAGTACCACCTATTCCTGCAAACTGTTACTGATCATTTTGTCTGTTCCATGATCTTTTTGACCTTCACCTTAATATAAGACAGATGCTCGGATGAGTTCCCTACAAAGAAAGGTTTGGGGATGGGAACCACCTCACTGTCTTCCATGGTAAACATGAATGCAAATAATTCCTGTAGACTTATTTTGCTATGGTCTTATGTTTCCTAAGCACTCATTTTATACTGGGATCAGACGCTTCTCTGGCATCTATTTTTGGTATGTCTGAAGAAAGATTTCTTATTTCTATTATTTATAGAAACACAATTACATGGCCAACACTGCAGTTCTTCATTGGCACACCTGTTATAAAAGATGTTCTGAAGAAAAGGAATTTAACAAAAAATATAATTATGTGATAAGGTTCCCAAATATGTAGCAGAAAACACAGAAGAATGTTTGACACAATTTTTTTTTTTAATACTTACATGCACTTCTACTCTATGCCTAATGAATGCAATGCACAGATCTGCAGTCACAGCTTAGAGATAACACCAGAAAAAAGTTACTTAAAAAGGCTCCTGAGAATATCCTGGCCTTTCTTTGGAGAAAAAATGAGCCAGTATGTATGGCTTTCAAGCATAAATAGCTATTGAACTGACAGGGAATTTAAGAGTTTCACTTGGAAGCAAAGGCAGAGGATGGAGAAAGCAGCTCTTTTTCTCTTCTGTCTTTATGCCTCGCACTTCAACCACAGAAATTATGTGGATGCGTCCTTTGGGAAAATGACATCTCGGAGGTGAGAGCAGTAACTACGAAGGAGTTTTACTAAAATGGATGCTTTTTTATTGGAATGAAAGTACTCATGCAGGAAATATATTAATATAATAATGCTTCAACTTATTACTATTACTCTTACTTTGAAAACTTCCACAACTTTTCCATTAATGGGTTAAAGGCAGAATCAGAAGAATTCATCCTAAGTAAAACAGAGTGGAACAGATATGAAATTTCAGGGGAATATAAATATCACCACTTCTTAATAATTACCTAAACACAAGGCCCTCTGTGCCTTGAAAAACAGCCACAGTGGGCCATTGACTTGCTTCTTCAAAGTCTGCCAATCGTCTCAGCTGGTGGAAATACTTTTCTTGAGCGCAATACATATTATATGCCTACAGAGAGGTGCGGAACAGAAACACTTGCTCTTTTGAAATGTGCAAATTAGGTATTGGTAAAAAATTATAATCTCTTTCTGGATTATACTAACAGGAGTATAACTTTTAAAGGCTGTTAGAATGAGAACAGTAGTCAACTGTTTTTTACAGTGATTTGTAGGAATACACGTGAAAAAAAAAAAATTATAAGTGAGTCTGTTTCTGCCAGAAAAAAAGGTCCCGAGACCCAAACAGCCATTCAGCCGCCCGCCGGCTGCTGGAGGGGCTGCCCGGGCTCGGCAGGGAGCACCCCGATCCGCGTTTCAAGCGGCAGCAGTTCAGGGCGCTTCGAGCGCCGGGGCAGGCCGAGGGGAGAGCGAGGGCCCACCCCACCGCCTGCCTTCCCCTCCCCGGGCGCGGCGCCTGGGCCTCTGCCTCGCTCCGAGGAGCGGGGGGGGCGGGACCGCACGCCGGCCAG